ATGAAATCTAAGTCCTTTAGAATTTTCCACCAAGTCCCTGTCCCTGGGAACTCCCTAAAGAAAATAAGGACAACCAACCTTCCTACCCAGGCCAAGCTTGGTTTCCCCGGCACATCACAGGTCACAGACGGTGGCCTGTCCCTGAGTGCCTTTGCTCCCTAACAGCTCTGAGTTTGTCTCCACCTGCCCAGGGAGGAAGGAGGGAGGCTGTTGGAGGCACTCGTCCCATCTTTTACTCTTAAGACCTATCTAGAAGACTCACATCTGACTTTGGCCACTTACGGACAGTTCCTGAGCATGGTGACGGCTTCTGCCTCGGTGTCCAACATCCGTCAGGCTTTCCCAAGGTCCTGGGCGGTGAGGGGAGAGAGGAGCTGATGAGCTCTCCCTTGGCCCCCAGCCCTTCTGAAGGACGGTTATAAAATATGCATACGCGGTTCCTCAGAAGCACACGGGTGACGTGGGCGGTGGCAAGCGGGGTGGCCCCTGCCAAGCCAGCCCAGTGTCTCCTTCCTGTCTCCCTCTCCTTACTCCCTCCCTATGGCTTCTGGGATCACTTCCGAACGCACCGTCTGCTTGCATGTTCCATGTCCTTGTTCAGGCAGCAGGTATACGCAGGACAGGGACCCTGCAGGGAGAAATCAGGTGAATGGTCCGTGTAACAATTACATGGGCACCGTGCATTTTGGAGGAGGGAGGAGAGCCTTGGGTCGATTCTAATTACTGTGAAGACCGGGGACCCCTCCTCCTCTGAGTGCACGGGATGATTTATGTTCAGCTCCAGGTCTGGGCAGGGGATGGGCAGGAAGGGAGTGCTGCAGCAGGTCAGAATGTTAAGGGCTAGGATGAGTGACCTGGACTTCCACAGTTTGGGAAGAACCACGTGAGCTCCTGTTAGTGAACATGGCTCAAGCCCTTGTCCATCTGGAGCCTGGTACGTGGTTCCTCTCTCTGGTGGGTCACTGCGTCAGCCGCTCAACCTTGTTCCCTTGCTGACAGCTTCCTGGTCGGGGACGATGGCAGGGTGTATGAAGGTGTTGGTTGGAACGTCCCAGGCTCGCACACCCAAGGCTACGGCAACATTTCCCTGGGCGTCGCCTTCTTCGGCACCAAGGAAGGTAATGACCGCCCCGACCAGCCCTCTCCAAAGAGTCCTTGGCACTCAACATGGCCTGCTCAACCCCATGCAGCCTTCCCAGACTTCTCCAAAGATCCAGCCCGGAATTCAGTCTCCCTTGGCCTCCCTGTCATGGCTTTGTGAGGACGCTTCTCCACCTGCCCTGACGTCTCTCAGTCTCCATGGCAACCCCTCTTCTTCTAGCCATCTTGTAGGAAGAGCCGCTCATGAGTTTTCCCTCTGCAAACACATTCCCCTGCTCTTCTGGAAAGAGCCGGGCTTCCTCTGTCACCTCTGGGTGAATGACTATCTCGTCTTCCTCTAATGTCAACTTTCTGTAGCCGCAGACTGAACCCCCAGATTCCTGCCTGACACCGCCTCCTTCCATCTCTCACTCCCGGATTTTCCATACATTGTTTAAAAATGACTCAGAGGTCCCCGATCTCTGACTCCACTTTGTTCTAGCCTATTGCTCCACATGCCATGCCGTTGGCCTTGGCCTGGGAACCTACGTTGTCCGGGGCCATTTCCCTGAATTTGTGCACCCCTTCCTGTTAACCAAGATCTTGAATACCTGCTCGTCCGTTTGCCTCCCCAACACTCTCTGAGGTTGTCCAGGTGGATTTCACAGTCTCTGTTACCACAGGGTGCAGCCTGAGTTTCAGAGAAGTAAATAACTCACAGCGACACAGCCGTGATAGAGGGATCAGCACGAGAGTGTGTATCCTCCACGGCCAACTCCGGGGTGGGGCGTTTCCAGCCTGCCAGAGACTCACCGGGTCAGCAGTTTGGTTTACTTATTGATTAGCTGATGTATTTCTTTATAGATTTTGATGACTACTTGTTGCCTCTTGTTGGCTTGGGATTTTTGAACGCGTTACTTTTTACAGCCTCAAGTTCCTCTACGTGGATCATGGGCTTAATGATAGCTTCTGCCTCAGAGGTTTGTGGGGAGGATTAAACGGTTGCATGTGGGCAGAGTCTGGCTCGTGCCTGCCGGGGCCCTACTGACGGGGGACCCTGGCCTGAGCTGGCCAGCGCTGTCGAGTGGTCGCCGCCTCTGTGTTCTCTCGTGAATGGAGGGAGTCGACAGAGGAGTCCTGGCAGGTCACTGGGAAAGGGCTTCATCCTGGGCCACAGAGAACTCTGTCCTGGCGGACCCTGGCCTCTCTGGCCTGGGGAGGGGCCTGCTGGGCAGGGCTTGGCCGGTGTCCCTTCTCTATTCAGTGCCCTGAAGCTCAGGTCAGACTGAGAGTCCCCACAATTGCTCTCTCCCAGGCCTCAGCCCCAGCCCTGCCGCCCTGTCAGCCATGAAGGACCTCGTGTCTTACGCCGTGCAGAGGGGACACCTGTCACCCCGGTACACCCAGCCACTTGTGAGGGGCGAGAACTGCCTGGCTCCTCCCCCAAAGGCAAGGCTGAGGCACGGTGAGACCTTCGGCCCTGCTGGGCTCCATCCAGGCTGGCTCCTCACTGGACCCGGGGGTGACTTCCCACCAGGCTCCCCTCAGATTCCTCTTGAAACTTTGGGGCTGGCGGACCTTGAGGGGGACGCTCCAAGGCACCTCTTTCCCCCTCGGATTCCTAGAATGGCAGAGCCTTGGCATTACGCCTGGTGTTATCTCTGTGCACCTGTTTCTACAAATTGATAGACACTTACTGAACACCTACTAGACCCTCAGGATAAACGAAATATTAAAATCCCTGACCTCGTGATGTTTCGATATCTACAGGGCAGAGAAGGGCAGCAAATAAACCAGTAAAACACTTGGCATGTTATATGGTAAAGAATGCTAGGGATGGGGGGGAAAGAGTACAGAAAGGGAGAGGGTGTTTCTACACCTATTTATATATTCATATGCTGACATACAAACACATTTCTGAATATGGGTGGTGCATACCTATAAATCTAGTGATTTGAGAGGCTGAGGCAGGAGGATGGCAAGCGTGAGGCCAGCCTCAGCAACTTAGTGAAACCCTGTCTCCAGATAAAAACTAAAAAGGGCTAAGGATGTAGCTCAGCGGTGAAGTGCACCTGGGTTCCACCCCCAGCACCGGCCTCCTCCCGGCAAAGTAGAACCACACCAGTGCTGAGGAGACTTAGGATCCCACTTGTATGGATTTTAAAGGAAGAGCTTAATCATCATTATGTTTTTGCCCTGCCATAGCTTGCCCGAGCATTGTCCCTCGGTCTGCTTGGGGGGCCAGGGAGACCTACTGTCCCAAGATGACCCTTCCTGCTAAGTACGTGGTCATCCTGCACACTGCGGGGAGGACCTGCGGAGTGTCTGAGGAGTGCCGCCTGCTGGTGCGCGACCTGCAGTCCCTCTTCATGGACAGACGCCACGCCTGCGACGTGGGGTATAAGTAAGTGGGCCCCAGCATGGGGGCTTCTTATCTGGGTTCTGGGGGCAGAATCTGAGCCTCTGGAGGGAAGGAGAGGGCAGTAGGATCTCCTGAGTTCTCACCATGTGAAAGACCCGCAGGTCTGGCCTCAGGGATCCCCATCCAGTCCTGGGGGGGTCTTATTTAGGAGTTATCTCAGGGGGTGTTCGTGGCCCTGGGCAAGTTCTTGAGACACGTGCCTCTCTCAAAGGTAGCATATTGGCATGACGGATGCCCAGACTGTTGGAATCCACCGGGGAGGCACCCGTGTGCCAGGGGCATCTTCAGACAAGACCATCTTAGGTGGTGACCTTTTCATGCAAGTGCTTCCCTCTGCCCAGTGGCTCAGGCTCCGTCCCTCAGTGTGGCCTCATCTAGGAGCTGTTCCCACTCAGGACACAGTGCCATCCTCTGCAGCCAGCCTGTGGGCCTATTGCGAGAGAGTCTTCCCTGTATGAAGGAGAGGGAGGGGCTGCCAAGGTCTGGGAGTCTTCATTAAGGAACACACTGACCTAACGGGAGGCCAGACCAGTCCTCCCTCCCTCCCTTCTTTTTTTCTCCTCATTAAGCGGAGCCCAAATGGGGCTCAAGATTCCGTGCCGGTTTTGGTCAGGTTGTTTCCATTTAGAGTGCCAATTTTAAAAACTTGTCCCTTAATACTGGCACACAGGAACCAAACGGCCCACAAAACAGGTAGAGGTGTCTCGAGGATGCGTCCAGAGCTTGCAGATAAGACATTTGGGGGCTGCACACCGTCTCACGTCCCATCAGATACAATCACATTCAGTATTAAGTCTTAGGACAGGCCACGGCTAGCCCAGTACCTATTCGTACACATTAATAAAGGGAACCCCCACTTCTGGGGACATTCACAGCTTAGCAAAGTGGAGCTGGATGTTAGTAGCCCAAGCTGGGCACCTTTGCATAGGATGTGGCCTGCGGAGCCCTGGGCGGGGGTCTGTCTTAGATGAATTTCCATTGCTCCATGTGGGCCTCTGGGCTGCTGAACCTCTGTTCTGTCTCCATTTTAGTAATAACCCTTTCAAGAGAGGATATAATGTTTTTTTCCAACATCTGTCATTTATCAGGACCTTCCAAGTGCTTTGTTAGGTCCTGCCATGGAGGACTGATGTCCTCCTTAGTGACACTTGGGTGTCTGAACATTGACTGTGAATTTGGAGATCCTGAACAGGGAAATGACGGAGGCTGAGGAGGGGTCTTTCCCCTTTTCTACTCAGATTGCTCAACGCTGTCACCTGTCTTTTGACTTCTGACTTTTTATTGTGTCCCTTCTATTATACTATATGACTGTCATTTTGTCACCTTGGGAGGACCTGGAGTCAGGATAGACACTTGCTTTTCACACGAGATCGCCCTAAGCTGTGCTCTGGGGATGCTGTTTGGACGGAACAGAGACACATTTTTGATTTTATGGAGCTAGTACTTTAGGGAGGGAGAAAAAGCCTCAGTGAGGTGCAGTAGGTGGCTGAAGGGGGGCTCGGGTTGCTGGGGAGATGGCTGCAAGGACACGTTACCCGAGGGAGTCACACACGAGCTGGGACCTAAAGACCCAGTGGGAACCAATCAGAGGAGGAAGAACATTTCGGATAGAAGAAGGGACTTCTATGGAAAGGCTTGGAGTCCAGCCCGAGAGGAGTCCCTTTGAGAAGCGGAGAGGTGTTTCTCGCGAGCACGGAGATGCTGAAGAGGGGTGTGGGGGGAACAGGGGCCATGTCCTGAAGACCTCGTGACTTGAGCTGGGGAGCTTGGACTTGGTGCCAAGGACCAGAAGCAGGATTTTAACGTGACCTGCAGCGTGTTTTCAAAAGGCCACTCTAGCTGTGGCTCCAGGAAGGGATCTGAAGAGTGCGACGCTGGAGGTAGCCAGGTCCCAGGGCTGTGTAGCCATCCAGGCGAGACGATGTGGCGGCACAGCGAGGGTGATGGCCTCTGTCACGGAGAGAAGTGGAAGGCGTGATGGTGAACGACTGGGTGCAGGGGCAGGGGAGTGGCGGGAGACTGCACTGGGTTGAGCGAGTGGGTGGGCCGGGGACTGTGTTTGTGCCCATGACCCGTGGGCAGTGGGTGGCAGCACCTTTCTCCAAGATGAGCTCCCAGGAAGGAGCAGACGGGAGGAAGTGGGTCCAGTCGTGAACTTGTGGACTTTCGTGGATCGTAAAGGAGCCAAGGAGGTGGATGTGTTGAGGGAGAAGAGGCTTAAAGAGCAGGACCGTGAGGGGCCCCCAGGAAGGCCGCAGGAATCCGAGGGGCAGAGAGGGGGCAGCCAGAGGAGAAAGCTGGGAGGGTGTGTTGTGGGGGAAGCCACGGAAGAGAATGTTTGGAGAAGGTGAGGGGGTCGACAGATCCAGTGTGCCAAGAGGCCAAGCCAGGTGAGCCTAGAGGTGGGCGCGTGTCCTCCGTGGAGGAGGCTGTGGGCCAGCTTGGAGAAAGTCGTGTTATTGGTGAGGTGGGGGAAGGCAGGCACGGCAAGCTGTCTTTCCAGTTTCCTCATTGACAGTGAGCTCCTCGAGTCAGGAGCGATGTGCTGGAGCCGGATGGGCATGGGCCAGCTCAGGGGACTGACGGTCAGAGATTCAGGAATTTTCTGAGCCAGCTGCTAAATAGCTGGGAGCCTAAAATCAGCTACGGTGGGAGTTTTCTTCCCCAGAAATCTACAAATGCTATAAATCAGGGTCCTCCCACCCCCAAGCTGATTTAAGGACTCGGTCTGACTTGTTTCTGTGAGCCAGGGCTTAGAATTTAATATGATATCTGGTGAGGAGAGACACGAGTGACTTAGGAAGGACGATGAGAAGCCATCCCAGAGTGCCTGTCTCTCATGCCCATCTCCACGCCCTCGTGTCCTGTAGCTTCCTCGTGGGCCAGGATGGTGCCGTTTACGAAGGGGTCGGCTGGAATGTCCAAGGCTCCCGAACCCCTGGCTACAATGACATCGCCTTGGCCATCTCGTTCATGGGCACCTTTACAGGTAGGTGGATGCTCTGGGCAGTGGTGGTCATCGTATGGTATCTTAGGGAGAAGGTCTGGGCGTGGGTGATGGAGACGTCAGACTCAGGCACTGTCTAAATGACCGCCCGTGTGGAGCTTCAAATCTGACATTAACCAGGCTGAGTGTGGCCAGAGGTGACCGTCAGATGGAACTCACCTCCTGCTCACGCAGCCAGGTCTCTCTCCTCCAACCCCTAAGGGACACATGGAGCCATCTTTGTGCAGACTGGTAGCTCATCTTAGCAGACACGGCATTTCTTGGTTGCCATGGCAGCAAGTGGCACCCCTTCACCTTATATGTCACAGCATGGATAAACCCTGACTCTGCATTGAGACTGCACGCTCCATACAGTGAATATCGTCACGGACCAGAGCCCTTGACTAGAGTGTTTTTTCTTTTTTTTTTCTTTTCAATATTCAGGTGCTTTTTGTTGAATCCCTGGAGAGGGGTGGCTATATCACTGGGGCTGGTTCAGGCTGACACAGAAATGGGAATTGGGTGGGGGCAGGAGTGACCCAGGACCGTGCCTGGAAATGGGGCTGACATGAGGTCAGGACAGGTGAAGAAGGAGCAAGCAAATCTCTGGGTAAAGCACAGTTTCCTGGCCTTGGTGCTACTGACGGGTCACATCAGATAATTTTCTCTTTTGGCACTGTCCTGGGTCTACAGTCCTGGGCCTTAGGATGCTTAGCAGTATTCTTGGCTTCCGTCAAATGGAGGATAACAGTATCTTCCCATTCTTAATTTTGACAACCAAACTGTCTCCAGACCTTGCCACGTGTTCCCTGGGGGAGTTAAACTTTCCCCTGTAAGACAGACTTTTGCAGTGGAAAAAGGCTTTGCATATTCTCAGGAGAATGAGTTTCTTACCCCAGACTCAGCCTTTTGATTTGGGAAAACTTTGGCCCTGAGGCACTGAAGTCTAGACCTGGTTTCCTCTCTGTCCATCGAGTGGCTAACTGTAAGGGCTCTGTGTTCAGGATTGGGGTCCCTGATAGCTTCATGACCGTGGATGGTTGGTGGTTGAGGAAGTTTCTGTGCAAAGGCACAGAATGCTAGGAAACCCTGGCTGCTGTGGCAATGCCCTGCATGGAGAGGCTCTGCCTTAGAGTCTTATCAGCCTCGACCTTGTTCTCAGACCCTGAGCTCCTGGGAATAAAGGAACTCTCTTGTTAGACAACCGCAGTGTTTCACCAAGCTCCGCTGGGCCTGGACCTGTCCACAGAACAGTAACTGTAACAATGGACTTTCTTGAGAGCTGTACAACGCTCCTCACGTTGCACATTGCAACCGTCGTGTGTGAGTGAGGAAGAAGCTGCACAGTGTTGCTAACTCTGTAACCTGCCCAGTGACACAGTGAACAATGTGTACTTCTGATGCCAGGGACCTTGTGCAACCTATTGATACAAATAAAGCTGGCAGCTGGCACAAGGCGCTTCTGCCCCTGCCCCTGGCTTCTGTCTCCTTTTGTTTCTGTGACAGCTGACAGCAGTGGCCCGTACTAGCTTGGTGGTGGTGGTTGGCTCTAGGGGTGTGTCCTGCCCTGGACAGGGCGCCCTGGAATTCCTATGACCAACGGACCACTGTGTTTGCAGGTACTGCGCCCAATGCCTCTGCGCTGGAGGTGGCCACGGACCTGATCCAGTGTGCCGTGGTCAAGGGGTACCTGGCCCCCAACTACCTGCTGGTGGGCCACAGTGATGTGGCCAATACTCTGTCCCCGGGACAGGCTTTGTACAACATCATCAAGACTTGGCCTCACTTCAAACACTGAGGGAGGCCCCCGCTCCTGAGGCTGCTCAACCTGCTGCTGGGACTCTGTCCTCACCTCCCACCCATCTGTGTCCCCCTCCCCTGCAAGTCCCACCTTGCCTCCCTTTCGCAGGTTGGGGTGATACAGTCCTCTCCTACTACCGTCCTGCAGCATCCTGTAGGTTGGGCCCTCACGGCGCTCTGCGTCTGGGCTCCGCTTCCCCTCTCTTCACCTTCTTCGTCCCTGGGCACCACCTGCTCAGCCAGGAGAGATGATGGGCGGGTCCTCTGCCTGGTGCGCCTTCCCCTGAGGTCTGCCTGGAAGCTGCCGGCCCTCCCCCATTGCCAGGCCCGTGCGCCCACTCCTTCCCTCTGCTCACACGTTGACTTGTACAGACTCGGGTGCAGCTGTTATTGAAGGGCTTCATTATCAGAGTGGTTTCTGTTCTCCAAGGGAAGGAGCTGAGATTTATTGTCCCTTTGTCCTGTGTCAGTTCCTTACCCACGTCTGGAATTCAGTAGGTGCCTTAGGTGTTTGTTGAAGAAATGGATGAAAGAGTGGATGGGTTCCTGGTCACCTGGCCATTTTGCTCCATCATCTCCTGCCTGGGATCGTGCCCTGGTCCACCAGTATGCTCTCTTAGTCTAAGGCTCCGAGCTGGCTCTGGGGGCTTTTCTGAACTGAGTGCTATGTCTTTAGAGTCCCATGTCCCTGTCTCTCCAAAGCACCCTGAGGGAAGGGACTGTGTGCTCCTTCACGGGCAGAGAGGGGCTGTGACCCACACACTCCCCAGTGCCTGCGGCCTGACTGTGCCTGGCTGGCCCCAATGAGTGCTGGGCAGAGCGAGGACCAGAGCCCTGGCGCTCTCAGCCCTCCCTGGACTCTTCAACTTACTTATTGGAAGCACATGAAACATTTTCCGTAGACATGAATACAAGGAATAAAACATGTGGTCTGTCTAAAACATTTTCAGGTCTTCATATTCTGTCTTGTTTCCTTGTGTTTCCATCGCTCTCATAACAGAAATAAATGTCGGAGCTCTCATAATTTTAAAGCAAATATCTTGTGCTTTTCTAAGTGCTTAAAGGACCTCACTTGACCTTGTCTCCCTGTCTGCCCTTGGCCCTCAGGCTGTCTGTGTCAGGAGTGTGAGAATTGTGCTCTGCTTCCCCAGGGCAGAGTGGCCACAGAGATGCTGTCTCTTCTCGTCTCACCTGACAGTGGGATGAGGCTCCGGAGGGGAGCTTCCCCAGGGTCCTGCCCACCGCAGTCCTTCCCCTGAGCGGGTGAAGGGCAGGAGAAGGTATCTGTGTCCTTCCTTGCCCTCTGCTGAGGATGACTAGGAAGTGAACAAAAGGGGACAGACAGGGTCTCAGAAGTGGTGACCTGAAACAGGGGATGTCCAGACGTCCAGGCCTCCATCTTCTGTTATCAGGAGTCGAGGATTTCTCAGTCTCTCCTTGCTTGTTTGGGAGGAAATTGAGCCTCTCTTATGGTTTGGATCTGAAATTCCCCCAAAGCTCAAGTGATGAAGGCTGGATCCTCAAGACAGCCACATCCAGAGTGGGACTTTGCAAAGGGAAGTGACTGATCAAGAGGACTCCAACTTCATCAGTGGATTAATCCACTTGATGGATTAGTAAAACCAGTGGACTACTGGAATGCGGTGGAAACTGTAGGCAGGTATAAGGTTGTTTGCAAGAAGTGGTCACTGGGCACATGCCCTTGGGGACTATCTGTTGTCTCTGCCCCCCCCCCCCGCCCCCAGCCTTTCCTGTTACCTGGTTGCCATGAGCAGCTCTCCTCCACCACCCCCTTTCCCCGTGATGTTCAACTGTATGAAGGAGCGGTGAAGGGAGGGACCTGACCCGGACAGAAGGCAGGCAAGGACACCCGTGATGAAGGATGAATGGGTAGTTGAGTCTGGGTCTCTCTGGTCTTTTGGGTTGTCAGAGATTAATAAAGATTTGTACATCTTCCATCAGTGATTTTCAAAAGCATAATATTTTCTTCAAGTGAAGATTTATATGGACTCAGGTTGAAAATGGCACATTTGGTTTAGATCCATGCCAGAGAGGGGAAGCCAACAACTCAGTTAAGATCACGCAGCAGTGACACATACTTGCAGTCTCAGCAACTCAGGAGGTAGTGTAATGCCAGATTCGTGGGACCCCGATAGACCTCCAGGAGCCGAATCCGATGCAATCACACGAGAGTCTTTATTGCAAGCTGGAGCCTGGACTCACAACCGTTCCCAACACAGTGGTCCCAAGGAGTGAGTCTCGGTCCTTTGTTCAGTGAGATTTTATAGATTTTGGGGGGATACTCTATGTGTCACAACGTCACACAGCAAATCATTCCATACCACGGGAAAATCAAACAACAACTCTTAACATTGATTAGCACATTCACTGGCGGGAACAAGTTGGGGAGGGGTGATTGGTTAGTACAAAAGGAGGATTCATTTGAACTGATTGGTTTAAGCCAAGAGGGGTGTACGTGCTGAACTACATGGTTTCCCAACATGTTATCAACCACCATAAACTACTGGGGGTCATCTGGTATCCCAGGTATTTCCCTGTCTCATGCTGATTGGTGGTTGCTAGGGAGTTGCTATGGGCCCTCACCTAGCCTGACTGAGTCAGGGACACCTTGCGCCTCAGACCTTTCCCGTTATTTGCAGACAAACAACTCAGCAGGGTGGGTATGTGCCTAGGAGTGCTCTGTGGGTTTTTCCAAGGACAAGGGTCACACCCCCTTCCTTAGGACAGGCCTTGAGGTAGCAGCTGCTGTTATTTATTTATTTTCAAAAATGGAGTCACATCAATTTCTCAGTAGGAAGATCACAAGTTTGGGGTCAGCTGGGAATTTAGCAAGACCCTGTCTCAAAAAAGAAAAAAAAAAAAAAACCTT